AGGAATTATATAAAAAGGTGATGACCTGGTTAGTGAATCCTTTTATCCGCCTTGTGCAAGTAAAACGAAAAAATCAAGCGAAACATTCAAACTTACCATAATTTACATTATTGATATTATCTTATCATCCAATCAAACAAACTCCTATATTCCGCAAAGCAATAATAAGGTATGTTGATTTTATTGCTCGGCTAGCTTCTTGAGACATGTCATCACGATGTTAATCGATTTTCCCGCCTCTATAGATGTTCCAAAATAAAACGGACATATTGCTCTTGTTATATATCGGCATTTTGATCTTTGCCGAGAAAATCTTTGGCCATCATCACGCGTACAATAGACGCAGTGAAATTACTTACATGAATCTCGTCACATGCAACGGCACAGCAAAAGTCTGGTGCAGTATATCAAATGGCACAAGCATCTTCACGTGCCGAATTCTTGAAACTTTACATAGTATCGTACCGGCGATAACGTGGAAAAAATTAAGCAATAAGTGAGACAAATGTTACTTGGTTGAGATATTAAATAATTAGAAATTGAGTTAGCAAACGAAAAATACTCCCTGTGGAGGCATATAACATTAGGGCTTTTTATTATGAGTACACAACTCGACGCAAATATAAGGAATGTTGAACGTATAGCATAGCCAGCGTTGAAGCGTATCCATCTGGTCGAGCGCAGTCATTCACAGGAAGACTCCCAAAGTATGGTAATAACGTCCCTGTTTATCCAGATGAATGAGCTCAGTCTTTTCCCGACCTTCAACCTAATACCTAGCAGACGCTTGCGCAGGGGTTATGAATTTCATATTTATATGAAAACGTCCCGCAGAATACAAGCGAATAAGCTCAGTTTTTTCTGCTCGAGTAAACTAGCTATGTTTTAATGGAAAAAAAAAAATTCTCGATTATCGTAATTTTATTAATTGATTTGTGGTAGATCATGCTGATGATATCTATATATATCACACCCCTTCACTTTTCATTTTTACTAAGTATTTCAGGGACTTAGAATTTTTTCGGTGGTGAAAAATTTTTTTCACACCCCTTATTTGTCACCGGACACGTGGGGGTGAAATTTTACTTATAGATTTTGTGGCGATACTGGGGTAAATCTACCCCACCCAGCTAATCAGTAGACCTAAGAAGCGCGTTACAAAAATGAGATCACACGAGATTTGTGAAGAGCAAAAAAAATTCTTGACAGATGACGAAGATCCTCGTCCGACAAACTTCTTTATGCAATACCATTACCGCAGTAAAGCGTCTGGTTGTCGTGATTATGTGTTACGATTAAATGAAGCATTACAAGACGACCCACATTCAGAAAAGTTATTAAGTTTAAAAAGGAAATGGGAGGCTAACGAATATAGTGACGACTGGGCGAGCTATGAGGATGAGAAACATAACCGAAAAGCTGATGTATGTTAATTTTTTTATTTAAGCTTAAGAAACTGGGGTGGATACTTACAAAGCAAACATCATTTAACAATAGAAAAAAGTAAAGAAAACGAAACGTCAAGCACATATCTCCTTTCATAGTCAGTTAGATAAAAGACTTAAATCTAACAGTCAGAAGGAGGTAAGTTAGCGTAATTTTATTTTCGGATGAGTTATCTATCTTTATTGATTTGCCTCTATGATATATTGTTGGTATTTTTGCTGGCTTAGAGACGAACCGATGAAAATCAAACCAACAATAGGCAATCGACTGAAGAAGATCAGGCGCGGGTTCAGTTTAATAATGATGATTTGGATGTCGATAACGAAGGTAACGAAGGAAACGACGAAATTGAGGGCGCTATCGAAACGAATATTAGTAACGTTCTAAGTTCGTTTAAAGATTTTGTACCTGAGGTAATTTATAGTTTGCATCATATTATTTGGACTTTTAATTAATGGGATATCATTTTTACAAGGATAAATCACTAAGTATACTGGAAAATTTGGAGAATCGTTTGGCTACTACATACAGGGTTGTTTCCCTCTTTGATAGACAACTTCCGTACACGAAAGAACTTTACAATACATTCCCTGATCAAATGAGGACATTGGAGAATGAATGGGGAAAGGTAATATAGTTTTGAATTGGGTAAATTGGATAAATTATGAATGATTGACTTATAACAATTAATTAGGTTGAAGCCAATATCCAAAAAACAATCGAAGAAAGATGGAATGTATCTAAAACAAAAGAACTTGTAGATAAGTACTATAAAATAATAGTAGATCATTTTGATGAATTATTGGATGTTGATCACGAGAAGCTTATTACGGTGTTCAGTAAACCTCCCTATGATGATTTTTCTTATAAGCGTGATGATGAATTAATTTGGTGTCAGAGAATATTTATTGATTTGTAGGTTTTTCATAACAAGTTGTTTTCTGTACTGTTGTGTAGCTATGTTATAATTTATTTTTTCCACATCAGGACTCGACAATTTCTACGCAACAGAAGTGCTCTATTTGATAAAGAAGCTTCTGAACTTCGCTATCGCTCGGAAATTGTGAACCCTTTGCTTGCGGGGGCATTTGAAATGATTGAACGTTCTATGTGGCTTGAGACCGGAGAAATTGAGAACGAAATACAAAAAGTGCAACGAAATGATACTAAGGAAGATAATGAGCGGTCAAAACTTGGAATGAAACATGACGGTGTGATCAACATGATAATACACGGAAAGAAATATCAAGTCGGATTTCTTGAGGTTGTAGGCAATGCCTTTAACAGTGACATAACTGATAGGAATATTGACTTGGTGAAATTATATAAAGGTATGCCCGTTATTATCCACCATTTAGTTCAAGCATTATGCTGACTAGCTGTATTTCTCCATGAACCATAGCAATGTCATTATCATTGTGGAATCAACGTGCACATCTCGATAATGAAACTTCGCAACAATTATCAACTTTTGCTGTATTAGTCCATGGTAAGTGTGGAGTGTGAACACGAGCTTTGCACTGATTACATTGGACCATTAATTACTGTAACTCAATCAATTTAAATAGGGAAAATTTTTAATTTCTTAAGCATGCATTACATTAATAATGAATTTGTGGTTAAGAATTACGATGATTTCATATTACCAACAACAAATGAGTGCTTGACGAGAATACCAAAAATAATAGAAACGATTGCCAAATTCAAGGTATTATTTTATGACAGTTTTTTAACGTAAGTATTATGTACTCACTATATAATATTTTCATGTAGATAAGGATTATGATATATCATCGGGAACATATGGCTAGCTTCCATAAGGTAGTGCGTTTGCCAAGTGATCACCCAATGCTTCACCACAAAAGAAGAGAAACAACGGTGGTCGTTTTTGATGTTACTTGCATAGTTTAGTATATAATAAAAAACAAAGTTTTCAGGCTCTTTAGTAACGTCGGTGGTATAGAAGCGATAGAACGGGTAAAGTCTTTTAATGCTACTACAATCTTTAAATCTATCCCCAGGTGATGTCGATTTTATTATTGCTAGATTAAATGAATAAATAGTACCTACTACTACATGTATTTCGTGTAACTCTTGATAATAAAGACTTCTTTTAGGAGGGGTTACGGCCATTTTCGATTTTTTATTTGTAAAGTAGTGTGACATTAATGTCACGGCTCTCAGAGCCAAAATCATAAAGTTTCCGGTTTTCATTCTTCCATATAAATCGGCATAATCCATAACTCTGTTCCAAAACTTTGCCAGATCTCATTGGTTTAGCTGTGACATTAATGTCACACTTCTCCCAATAAGATTTCGAATAAGAATCCATATGACTAAATTAGTCGATCATCTCGAACATCATTTTATTCGTAATCATTTTCAGGCTATCCGGCTAAAGAAAAAATC